AATGGTTGTCAGGAGTGGGATTGAATTTCCACGCAAAATAACAAAAGATTTAAAGGAATTTTAGAAACAGAAGAACAGAGAGAAGCACAGATTTTTGGCAGCAGCATTTTCTCAGGTGTGCTCTGATTTGCTAGCAACAAGCCGAGATTCACGCGGCTCGCTTACAGGAGTCTTCCTGACTCAGCATAAAAAGAAAAAAAAAACAGCAAGGTTGTTTTAAGAGACTCTGCTAATGATTGAAAGGTGTGTACATACAGCTGGAAATGGCAGCATTTGCTGGATGTCAGCATGGACTGAGGCAGTAAGCTGGAGTCACATTTATGCCCGCCATCTTGGAGAAAAACTGCAGTTTAAACTGCCGAGGTTTTACAGATAAGACACGTGGCCAGAAAAACATAAAGATTTACAGTAAAGTCAGACTTGGATGAACAAAACTTCTAAAGGTTTACAGTGTGTTTAAAAATATACGTGAGATTGAGAGAGAAAATGAAACGGCAAAGTGGTATATAAATACAAAAGCCGGTTGTGGTGGCGCATGCCGGTAGGATTTACTCCAGAGGCAGAGGCAGGCGGATTTCCAAAGAGAAATCCTGTCTCAAAGAAAAATAAATAAAAGTAAAATAAATAAAGTAATAATAGATAAATAAATAAGCCACGTAAAGATGGAAAATACACAGAGAGTCTGGATACTGTACGCTATTGTGTTTTTCAGTTTTTTGCTTCCTCAGGAAGGAACTACTACTAAAGTACACTTGATTATAAATGCTGCTAAATTAATCCAACTTCTATCTTTTGAAAATGCCTTGACTGTAAAATTTAAGTATAAGGATATGTTACTTGGGAAAGGAGATTTTGCTTATGTTTCTACAGAAAATGAAAAGCTGAGGATTCCTTCCAGGCTTCTGTGGTTTGACGAACCAAGACCCCCGGAAGCAGTGGACCAGGTGTTCCAACAACTAAAACAGCTAAGATGATGCAGCTTTACAGATCCTGAAAATAAGGACTTATACAGGTTTCTGAGTTTTGTCATGATCCCCATGGTATGAACAGCACCCCCTTCCAGCATGAAGCAGTTTGGAATGAGTGACGTCCTAATTCCCACCTTGTTTATAAACCTTTGTTTTCATTTAAATGGGGTTGTTTATAATTGGTTAATGATCACAGCCAATCTCTTTTTAATGGTAAAAAGGGGAATTATGGTATGGGTATTGTTTTTCATTTATTGATACAAATTCAAGGTCAATTTTGTGATGTGTATATTTCTCCTCTTGATTAAGCATTGTGCTTATACTGATCTTTTAAAACGTAATGCTTAGTTGAATACAGACTATAGATAGTTACTTATAATAGAATTTATAGTTAGGTAAGTTAGGTTTTCTAGAGATACAGAAATATATTTGAGATAGATAGTCTTCAAACCTTTCAAAAACCTTCAGAAAATGGCATTTAAAATGGTTTAGGGTTTTTCTTGACAATGAGAAATGTCTGCTCCTGGCAGCACCAATTATGTCTGAGAGGAAGATGGGCATCGAAGAAACTCGTTATGGAGTTTGCTTTCAACATGGCAAGATTAGCCATTTGGGCAAGAAACTGTTCTTGGCTAGACTGTTTAACTGTTGCTGTATAAAGTGGACATGCAGGACCCACAGGAAAGTGACTGCTGAACTCAGTCTTACAGGGTTCCTGCTTCATGGAAGAGTCTACTTACTGCAGACTTTCTGCAGGACACAGAAAAATGACTGACAGACTGACAATGCAGATGGACAGTTTGAAATTTCCTGCTTTGCTGAGAAGTGTTCCAGACACATTGTGGCCTATGGGCTGAAGATGGATGCCCCAACGTTACAGAGGAACTTCGGGTGACTGTACAGGCAGTAAGATATCTCTGTCAATCCTAGTGATTATATATTATCCTTCTGTGGTCTTTGATGGAGTTGAAGACAGATAGTTATAATTATAGTTTTCCTTAGTTATGATAAAAGATAAGCTACATATAGAACTTTAGACTCACAAGGATGGGATGGATGATATTTTCTTTAAATCTTGCTGAATGTTGATAGACAAAATATTGTAACTGTATTCTTACTTGGTAACTGATTTTTTATATATGATTTGACTATGTTAAAGCTAAGACCTTTCTTTTTGTTTAAACAGAAAAGAGGAGATGTTGGGGAAGTCCTGTGCATTTGTCAACAAAGCACTGTCTGGCCTATAGGGAATCTAGATAGGAGGGACTAGGAGTCCAGGAGGACTCTGGGAAAGAGAAACACAAGAGAGTCAAGATGTAACAGCCATGTGGTAGGAAGCCCGGAACTATTCTCCGGTAAGAGAAATACTTAGATTAACAATGATGGGGTAATTACTTAAGTCAGAGCTAGCCAGTAAGAAACAAGCAAGGCCAACAGCTTCATAATTAATATAGCCTCCTGTGTGTTTATTTGGGACTGATGCAGCTCTAGAACCAGGCGGGTGGGAAGGCATCTCACAAAGAAAAAGCTTCTCTTTACAGGTACCTGTGTGTGTTTTTGTGGTGTGTGTGTGTGTGTGTGTGTGTGTGTGTGTGTGTGTGTGTGTGAATGTGATATATGTATGTTTGTGTAGTGTAGGTATGTGTTGTGTATTTGTGTATGTATATGTATATGTATATGTGTAGTGTGGGTATGTGGTGTGTGAGTGTGGTGTGGATGTGGTATGTGTATGTGTGTGTATACAAAAATAAACCCCCTTCAATTCTTACAGCTTTTTATTGCCTTTTCCTTTTGCAGCTATAAAAGCTGAAGACTTTCAAAGTGAAATAATTCCCTGGATCCCTCTGGCCAGTGACAGGGCTGCGATTGGTGCAGAGAGGCACACTTGCAAACCGTGGTTTTTCCATCTCTGCCATCGCTGTTCCTTTCATGGAGAAAACAACTATTATCAATCAGTCCCTTGCTCCTCTATTTTCTCCCAGACAATGCCTGGCTGATAATAGTCACCCAACAGTTGTTAATTCCATTCCTTCCCTTTCCTTCTGTTCCTATCAGGGCAATTGTCTTGGCTGCAAGCATTCACAGACTACCAGAATTCCCCGAACAGTTCAAACAAGCTCTGTGTATGAGCAGAATCTAGAATCTGTCACAATGTTGGCCACCCTGAAATTATGTTTTTATGCACTGTGCTTTTCGAATTGGGGCCAATCAACTTGTCATTCAATGAACTGTTTTCAGCTAAGACTGCTGACACATGGGGATGCATATGCCGCATTTATAGGCATAGATTTAAAATATGATCATTCTTCTGGCGTCCTTTCAAAGCAGAATTATTGAACTGCACTGAGTATGGTTTTTTCGGATCAGCTTAACTGCTTATGACCTTACCAAGGATTAAAAAAAAAACCTCTGTCCTACAAGGGAGTAATAGCAAAATAAAATCCACCTGATAAATTGAGTGCGTGGGGTGGGGGAGGATTAAGGAAGCTATAGATCCTGGAGACGTGCCTTATTAATCGGTTCCAACCCCAGGTGCTCTGTCTGAGTTCTACGGCGGGGCTTTCACAATATGAAGTTGGGCACAGAACTCCCTTGACCGAGGATTCTGTAAAGTACAGTGCAGAGAGCCTGGTTATAGATCCGCATGGATCTGGCATACTTTTGCCTCTGTATATCACAATCTGGAAAACGCTGAGCTATGGCAATGAAGAGGGACTGTAAACTGGATAAGCAATGAGCCAGAATCTGGTATCTCAGCTCAAGAGTGACTGCAGAAGCCCAGGCTTGGACATCCGATGATGTCTTTGACATGTCCTCTTAGATTGACAGCTTAAACTTGACTTTCCGGTCTTTCCGCCCAAACTTTCTGACCCATTCTGACACACTGGTTTGTTGGACTTGATACTGCACTTCCGAAGGCTTCAAACAAACGCTTGAGGAGGCTGTCCTCAATTGCTCCTTCTCCCAGACTACACACTCAGCTAAAAGCATGTTCTACTCATTTTGGTCACACAAAACACATCCAGATTATTCAGTTCTCACTGCCTCTAACATGCAGTTCTGGGCCACCAATATTTCAAAGGTAGATTTTTTTGTGGCAGCCTTCAACAAGAGTTCAACTTCTGTCCATTTGCTAGTTGGTGTCATCCACCTTCGGTGTTGACTAGAGCCCAAGGAAGAGTACGCCTCTCCTGTCTGAGCATTCTTTTCACTTTCCTTGTAACGAAAGCCACAGTTCTTCCCAGTGACCGACAGGTCTCCACAGCCTCCTGCGCTGGCTTCCCGTTCTTCCTCTCCTCTTCCACACTGGCACAATGTTTTCCCTAATCTTCTTCTGGGACACCAAACAGCTCAGTGTTGATCTGAATCTCGATTCATTAGTGGTGATGTGTCCCCAGCTGGTGTCTTTTGAGCCTGTTTCAAAAATCCTGTCAACACCTTCTGGAGAAATCATGGGACACTCATCCAATTAATCAATGAGACAAGTCTTCTCTGCTTCCAAATTCTGTGTCCTCAATGCTTTTTCTCTTTACCATTATCACTGTCAGCCATCCATGCCCTCTCCAGTTACTTATGTCTGAACTGAGTAAGGCACAATGCACCTCCAAGAGGTGCCTACAGGGTGACCTTTCATCTTCCACTCAAACCTTTTCCTTTCATGAGACCCATCTTGATAACCCTATTCAAAATACAAGAGGGGAACTTTTTTCCTTATGTAAAATGAGCTATACAAAAGTAGTAAGAATTCTCTTATTTCTTTAATTAACAGAACCCCAAGAACCTAGAACGGCACCCTGAGTAGTCAATACTAATTTTATAATAATTCAGTGAATAAATAAGACGGGAAGTCCTGGTTCTATAGCTAGAACTTAACATTCTGAAGTTAAGTGTCTTCATATATGGAAAGCAAACAAAGGTCAACTTCGGTGTCCTGACTGTGGGGAGAACTCCCAGATCATTATGACAACCTGCCAGATATAATATGACTTTGAAGTCATGCATGACAGAAGGGGTCAATAGTTCCATGAATTAATGACCAATGCTAGAGCATTGTTTCTAGCCTCCATACTCACTATTCTTCCTCGGTAAAACTTTCACTGTATAGTCATTAGTTGTTAGTTTTTAGTCTAGAATTCCCCAGGTTTTGAACACTTGGTCTCTAACCGGTGGCACTATTTTGAAAGCCATGTCACCAGGTTGGCAGAATAGGTCACTAGAGGTAAGCCTTCAAAATCTATACTTACTCATTTCCAGCCTATCTCTGATTTCTGGTCCTGTGAAGAGTCTCTGTCACATGCATGGATTTCCCTATGCATTTCCCTCCACAACGGACTGAAGTCTCTGAAATTGTAAGTGGGAATAAGCTTTTTCTCCTGTAATAGATTTTTCATTATACTGATCAAATACCTGACAAAAAGAATGTAAGGACTGAAGAGTTTACTTTGGACCACAATTTGAGAGTATAGTCATCTCTGTGGGGAGATCATGGCAGCAGGAGCCTGAGTCAGCTGGTCACATTGTATCATCTGCAGCTGGCCACATTGTGTCATCTGCAGTTTGGAAGCAGAGAAAGACAGCTGCTTGTGTCTGCTGTTTCTCCTTTTCATTGCATTTTGGTATCCTACTTCATATGTAGGATGGCAATAGTCACACTTATCGAGGGGGTGTCCCACCTCATTAAGCCCACGCTAGGTGATACTTCCTAGGTATGCATACAGAGTTTCACGGTATTCTAAATCCTGAGTTAGCAATCAGGGTTAGTCATCATACTTCCATAGGTTGTTTTAGTTAGATGTTTTAGTCACAGAAAAGTGAAAGCAAGTAATACAATAGCCATTTATATTCTAGCTTAAGGAAAAGATGTATAACTGAAATCTCGCTAAGCAAGGAATGAAGGTGTGGCTTAAATGAGTCCTCTGACCCAAGATAAATGATAAATAGGTGTTTATTAGAGAAGCACTTACACAGATAAGAATACATAGCCGTCGTGGTCTTCCTGCTCCAGAAGACGCAGTATCTGCCCTTCTGATGCTCTCTGTAACCCAAGAGAGCACCAGCCAGCCCCTTCTCTACCTTATAATAGGTCACATCTGTACCTGAAACCAGGTCCCAAAGAATGTGGCCACCACTACAAGCTCACTGGTAAGATGCCACTACACAGGAGCAATATGGACCATAAAGATTATTTTCACTTCAATTTCCAGGTACAGTGTCAAGGCAGGAACTGAGCAGAATGATGTAGCTAGGTCCTTGCACTACCTATGATCAAATCCACATTAAATTTGGCTTTCTGGTTTTCTTTTATGCCAATGATGCGACTGAGTTCTGATGCTCAAAAATATTGTAAGCTTTGTTTTTGAACTATTTCAAGTTTTGTTGTTGATGATTGATAAGATTCACATTGCAACTGCTGTTTCTTAAGCTAGTTATTTATAGTTGGAGTAGATGCACCTATGCATGGAATCTTGAGAATTCTAAAGTATTCTCTCTCATTTTAATGCCTTTCCTACTGTCCTAGTTAAAGCTACTATTGCTGTGATGAAACACTATGACAAAAAACAAGTTGAGGAGGAATGGGTTTATTTGGCTTACACTTTCACCTTATGGTTCATCACTGAAGGAAGTCAAGACAGGAACTCAAGCAGGGCAGACACTTGTAGGCAGGAGCTAATGCAGAGGCCATGGAAGGGTGCTGCTTACTGAGTTGTTTTCCATGGCTTGCTCTGCCTGCTTTCTTATAGAACCTAGAACCACCAGCCCAGGGGTGGCACCACCCATTATGGGCTGGGTCCTCCCTCATCAATCACTAATTAAGAAAATGGCCTACAGCTGGCTCTTATTGAGGCATTTTTTTCAGTTGAGGTTCCCTCTTTTTAGATGACTCTATCTTGTGTCACGTTGACATACAACTAGCCAGCACACCTATCTTTAGAAATTGTAACATATGCCTTTTTCATCTTAATTAAGATTTTTAAAGGAGAATAAGAGGTAACAAAATTAATTTTGCTTGAAGAAGTGTAGGCCTTCCGCTGTAGAACTAAGACTTTCTTATTTCTTAGAGAAGGGAGAGAACGGATTTTTATTCGTTCAACAGCAGTTAATGACACAATTATTATGGCCGGAACCCATATTGAGGATTGAGAAGCAGTAGTTTATAAATGCTGTTCTTATACACGGAGTGTAGAAGTGTGGGGGGAGGGGAGGGAAGAGAGAGAAAACTCAAGCAGAGTAGCATAAAAATCAAGCTAAATGGTTTATGTTTTGCTGTCATCTCTGTTGCTGTGATGAAATATTCTGACATAAAGCAATTTGGGGACCTTATTTTTTTTTAATCTTAAAATTTCAGGCTATAAATCATACATCATTGTGGGGAAGTCAACGCAGGAACCTGAAGCATCTACTTATACCCAGGCTGCTTGTTGGAGACGACTGCCCACATCTGGATACAGTTTGCCATTTTGTGATGGTGGCGGGACTATTGGTAGCAAAACTGGAAAATAAACATCCCCTGGATGCACATTTGGGAAGCAAAAGTGACAGGCCAACTGACCTTGGTGATGGGTTGGAAGCATGAGTGATTACCTTGAGGTTGTTAAGATGGCATAGGGAAGAATTTTAAAGACGGGGACCTCAGACACCTAGTTTCAGCTATTCTTTACCAGGAAGCACACAAATGTCATATTCACAACCTGCTTGTCTACAGTTTTGTTCCAGAGAATAATTATTTCCTATGTGAGTAAAAAGAAATGGGCTCATATTCCTCTCAGCAGAGTCCACAGCAGCATGCAACAAAGGTCTTTTAAAAAACAAACCAGCCCCCAAAGCCACAGAGAAACCCTGTCTCGAAAAACAAAAGAAACCAACATTTTTTTCATCAGAGTGACGCATGCACATGGGTAAAACTCCTCCCCTGGATGGAAGAGAGAACAAGACATTTTCTCTTTGAGCACCCCTCCTCCATGCCAGACCTCATCTCCAGAGGCTGCCAATCTTTCACTCACTCCATCGACATCTTCTTGCCTCCATGGTTATCACACTCCTATGCACATACCCACACTCATACCTGCACTTGTAATTATAAATCTAAAACGTGCAAATATAAGCAATGTGACTATTCTGCCACTTTTTTCATATTTGTGGATCACACTTTCTGTTTCTGCAAAAACAGGCCGTTGTCTGTTAGAGTAATTGCACCGAATCTGCATATTTCTTTGGGGGGGGAGTACTTCTATTTTAACAATATGAAACCTCCCAAGAAACAAACAAGGGATGTCTTTAGTGTATCTGAGTCTCTTTCAAAAAAATGGTTTAAGTTAAGTGAACAAGTCTTTCATTGGTTAAATATACTCATTGATTTTTTAATTCTTTCAATAAACCTAATTGTTCTCTTATCTATTTCATTGTTGACATATGGAGACAAAACTAGCCCAGTGTGCTTTGTGTGTGGGTGTGTGTTTGTGTGGAGTCCTTCACATTCTATGTATATATAATTATGTCATTTATGAATACAGATAACTTTGCTTCTTCATTTCCAGTCTCAGTGGGATTCAGTTCTTTTTCTGATCCAAATGCTCTAGCTGCAAGTTTTCATCCAATGCTCCTGGTCTTCTTTCTCATCAGAAGTTGAAAGTTTTCAGTGTTCACGTTTTTCATAGATTCTTTTTACTATGCTAAGGAAGCTCTCTCTTTTTTAAATTTGCTAATATATACATGTGTGTTTACACATATAGTTGTTTAATTTTGCCCAATGTGTCCTTCTGTGTACACTGAGATGACTATGTGCTTCTTTATTTTTGAAGTTATGTTAACATGTAACATGCAATTTTTTGTGTGTTGAAATTCCTTTTCATTCCAGAGATAAACTTGATCATAGTGTGTAATCCTTTCTGTGGGTTTTGTTGGCACCAGGGCAATGCTGACTTCATAGAAGGTATTTGGAAGTATTGCTTCCTAACCATTGTTTTGGAAAAGCTTGGGCAGTATTGGGGCTAATTCCTCTTCAGATTTTCAATAGAGTGTGCCAGTGTGGTGTCTGGTCCTGAACTAGTTTTCATGGGGGTGGGTGTGGTGGTAGATGGATGATTAAAATTCTTTACATGTTTTAGCTCTATTGACACACACTACTTCTTGAGTGAGTCAATATATATGGACTTTCTTTGAACTGCCAGTTCCTGAATAATGACATAGATACTTTTGATTAATTATGGAAGCTTGGCCTTAACTTAGATTTGTTCCCAACTAGCTCTTAAAACTTAAATTAGCACCTTTATATTAATTTTGCCACATTACCAGTTACTTCTCCCACAAATTCCTCCTCATCTGACTTTGAGTCCTTCTACCTCAGATTTTTTCTTCCCAGAGTTCTTATATCTGCCCAGTAGTCCCACCTAGCCTCTCCTGCCTAGCTACTGTCTTTATTAAACCAGTAAGAAGTTGCCTTAGGCAAGCTAGGAAGAACAGAAATACATCTTCACACAGTTTACAAAAAGGTTATCCCAACAAGTCAGGTTTGGGAAAATTTATATTCTTTCTTCTTAAAGATGTATTTAAGTTCATGTATGTGTATCTCTGGGTATGTGCCTGTGAATACAGATGCCCTTGGAGGCCAGAGACAACAGATCCCCTGGAGCTGAGGTTGCAGGCACTGTAAACCATCTGATATGGGAACTGAACTGGGGTCTTCTGCAAGATTAGTTCTCTTAACCACTGACTCATTACTCCAACTCTTCTTGAAGATATGAGACCAATCTATCATAAAGGATAAAATGTTTGTCTTAGTTAGGGTTTTTATTACTCTGAAGAGACAACATGACCATGACAGCTCTTATAGATAGAAACATTTAATTGGGTGTGGCTTACAGTTCAGAGGTTTAGTTCACTATCGGGAAGCATGGTGATGGAGAAGGAGCTGAGAATTCTACAGCTGGATCCGCAGGTAGCAGGAAGAGAATGGCATACTGGCCAGGCCTGAGCATTTGAGACCTCAAAGCCTGCTACCGGTGATGCATTTTTCCCAACAAAGCTACACCTACTCCAACAAAGCCACATCTCCTAATAACTTCCTCCCTGTGAGACTATGGGGGCTGTTTTCTTTCAAACCACCACAAATACCAACAGCTCTTTAAGATATAAAACTCAGAAGTCGAAACCACAGGATAGAGGTGGCAAAAGGAAATGGTTTAATGCAGGAATATTATCAACGCTTTAAAAAAATCACTTTTCACAGTAGTTAAGATATGAAACCAGCCTGACTGTCCACCACTGGATATGGATAGAGGAAGTGTATAGTCTATATACACAATGGAATTTTATTCATTTATAAAAAAGAATATACCTTCTTCTCACCACCACATGGAACCTTCTCAAAAATCGACCACATACTTGGCAACATATCAAACCTCAGCAGCTACAAAAAAAAATTGGAATAACTCCATGCATCTTATCAGACCACCATGCCTTAAAATTAGAATTCAACAACAACACAAATTGCAGAAAACCTACAAACTCATGGAAATTGAATAATGCTCAACTGCACCATCCCTGGGTCAAAGAGGAAATAAAAAAAGAAATTAAAGACTTCTTCGAATTCAATGAAAATGAAGACACAACATACCCAAACCTATGGGACACTTTGAAAGCAGTGCTACGGGGGGAAGTTCATAGCACTAAGTGCTCACATGAAGAAACAGGAGAACAGTTATACCAGAGAATTAACATCACAGCTGAAAGAACACAAAGAAGCAAACTCCCCCAGGAGGAGTAGACGCCAGGAAATAATCAAATTGAGGGCTGAAATCAATAAAGTAGAAACCAGGAAAACAATACAAAGAATCAATGCAATGAAGAGTTGGTTCTTTGAGAAAATCAACAAGATAGACAAACCTTTGTCCAAACTTACCAAACAGCAGAGAGTGAACACGCAAATTAACAAAATCAGAAATGAAAAGGGGGACATAACAACAGACTCTGAGGAAATCCAGAGAATCATTAGGTCATACTTTGAAAACCTGTACTCCACAAAATTCGAAAATTTAAAGGAAATGGATGACTTCCTGGACAGCTATCATTTGCCAAAACTAAATCAAGAACAGATAAGCAATTTAAATAGACCTATAACCCCTATGGAAATAGAAGCTGTCATCAAAAGTCTCCCAACCAAAAAAAGTCCAGGTCCAGATGGCCTCAGTGCAGAATTCTACCAGAAATTAAAAGAACAGCTTATACCAATTCTTCTCAAAGTGTTCCACACAATAGAAGCAGAAGGGTCTTTGCCAAACTCTTTCTATGAGGCTTCAATAACCTTGATCCCCAAGCCACACAAAGATACAACTAAGAAAGAGAACTTCAGACCAATATCCCTCATGAACATTGATGCAAAAATACTCAATAAAATACTGGCAAATCGGATCCAAGAACACATCAAAACAATCATTCACCACGATCAAGTAGGTTTCATCCCAGGGATGCAGGGATGGTTCAACATACGAAAATCCATCAACGTAATCCACCATATAAACAAGCTGAAAAACAAAAATCACATGATCATCTCACTAGATGCTGAAAAAGCCTTTGACAAAATCCAACACCCCTTCATGATAAAGGTCTTGGAGAGATCTGGGATAACAGGGACATACTTAAACATAATAAAAGCTATATACAGTAAACCAACAGCCAGCATCAAACTAAATGGACAGAAACTCAACGCAATTCCTCTAAAATCAGGAACAAAACAAGGCTGTCCACTCTCTCCATACCTTTTCAACATGGTACTTGAAGTTCTAGCTATTGCCATACGACAACAAAGGGGGATCAAGGGGATACAAATTGGGAAGGAAGAGGTCAAACTTTCACTGTTTGCAGACGATATGATAGTTTACATCAATGACCCAAAGAACTCTACCAGGGAACTCTTACAGCTGATTAACACCTTCAGCAAAGTGGCAGGCTACAAGATCAACTCAAGAAAATCAGTAGCCCTACTATATACAGATGATAAAAGGGCTGAAAGAGAAATCAGAGAAACATCACCCTTTACAATTGCCACAAACAACATAAAATACCTTGGGGTAACGCTAACCAAACAAGTGAAAGACCTGTATCGTAAGAACTTTGAATCTTTAAAGAAAGAAATTAAAGAAGCCCTCAGAAAATGGAAAGATCTTCCATGCTCTTGGATAGGTAGGATCAATGTAGTAAAAATGGCAATCCTGCCAAAAGCAATCTACAGATTCAATGCAATCCCCATTAAAATCCCAGCACAGTTCTTCACAGACCTTGAAAGAACAATAATCAATTTTGTATGGAAAAACAAAAGACCCAGGATAGCCAAAACAACCCTGTTCAACAAGGCAACGTCCGGAGGCATCACCATCCCTGACCTCAAGCTCTATTATAGAGCTATAGTCCTGAAAACAGCTTGGTATTGGCACAAAAATAGACAGGTAGACCAATGGAATCGAATTGAAAATCCGGGCATTAACCCACACACGTACGAACATGTGATCTTTGACAAAGAAGCTAAAAATATACAATGGAATAAAGAAAGCATCTTCAACAAATGGTGCTGGCATAATTGGAGACTGGCATGTAGAAGAATGCGGATCGATCCATGTTTATCCCCATGCACAAAACTTAAGTCCAAATGGATCAAAGACCTCAACATAAATCCAGCCACACTGAACCTCTTAGAAGAGAAAGTGGGTGGTACCCTTGAACGAATTGGTACAGGAGACAGCTTCCTGAACATAACACCAGTAGCACAGACAGTGAGATCAACAATTAATAAATGGGACCTACTGAAACTGAGAAGCTTCTATAAGGCAAAGGACACAGTCAGCAAGACAAAAAGGCAGCCCACAGAACGGGAAAAAATATTCACTAATCCCACATCTGACAGAGGGTTGATCTCCAAAATTTACAAAGAATTCAAGAAGCAAGTCTCCAAAAACAGCAAAGGACCCAATTAAAAAGTGGGCTGCAGAACTAAATAGAGAGTTTTCAATAGAGGAGTCTAAAATGGCTGAGAGGCACTTGAGAAAGTGCTTAACATCCTTAGCCATCCGGGAAATGCAAATCAAAACAACTCTGAGATACCATCTCACTCCTGTCAGAATGGCTAAAATCAAAAACACCAATGACAATTTATGCTGGAGAGGATGTGGTGAAAGGGGAACACTCCTCCATTGCTGGTAGGAGTGCCAACTGGTTCAGCTTTGGAAATCAGTATGGAGATTCCTCAGAAAAATGGGAATAAACCTACCACAAGACTCAGCAACTCCACTCTTAGGCATATATCCAAAAGATGCCCATTCATACAACAAAGATGTCTGTTCCACTATATTCATAGCAGCTTTATTTGTAATAGCCAGAACCTGGAAGCAACCTAGATGTCCCTCACCCGAAGAGTGGATAGAGAAAATGTGGTACATCTACACAATGGAGTACTATTCAGCAGAAAAAAATAATGGAATCATGAGATTCGCAGGCAAATGGATGACACTAGAAGAAACCATCCTGAGTGAGGTAACC